CATTCCAACGTGGATGCCCTCAGCCGACTTCCTTTACCGCACACGCGTGGCTACGACCACGATACCAGCGGAGTTGGTACTCATGGTGGAGAAACTCGACGAAGCTCCAGTTACTGCAAAGCAGGTGGCGACACTGACCAGGCGTGATCCAGTCGTCTACCACTACATTCAGAATGGCTGGCCGACACGTGTGGACGAGCCAGCATTGAAGCCTTGCTTGACACGCCGACTGGAGCTATCCACTCTCAATGGGTGTGTTACCTGGGGCAGTCGTGTCGTAATTCCGCCACAAGCTCGCGATGTGCTACTAGTGGAGCTACACAGTGGACACCCCGGTTGCTCACGAATGAAGTCAGTGGCACGAGGGCTGCTGTGGTGGCACACATCGTCGACAAAGATATCGAGGCAACAAACGTGAAACAGTGCGAGATAGCTGTCAGCAAGGTCAGCGCCACTGCACAACCGTGGACGTTGGCCAACAAGCCCTTGGTCCCAGACTGCACATTGATTTTGCCGGCCCCGTAGCTGGGAAGATGTTCCTAGTGGTCATTGATGCCCACTCGAAGTGGATTGAAGTGTCACCAATGGCCACAGCCACTTCTTCCACTACGATCCAGCAACTCCGTCAGATGTTCGCACGTTTTGGGTTACCGGACACGGTCGTATCGGACAACGGTCCACAGTTTGCGTCATCAGAATTTGCAGAATTTTGCCCATGCAAATGGGATTCGTCATATCCTAGTGGCTCCATATCATCCCGCGTCAAATGTTTGGCTGAGCGAGCTGTCAGGATTCTCAAGCAGGGCTGAGGAAGATGACAGAAGGCTCTCTGTCTGATAAGCTTGCGAGATTCCTTTTTCACTACAGGAATACCCCACATTCAACAACAGGATTGATTCCAGCAGAATTGCTCATTGTCGAAAGCTTCGCTCGAGATTGGATCTCGTCAAACCGAATCTCCAACAGTACATGCGAGATAAACATGAGGAAACACCAGCGACGTCAACATGATCTTCATGGCACGCAGCGCACGTTTGGGGAGGGGGAGGAAGTGTTTGTAAAGAATCGCAGAGCGGGAGATCCGTGGTTACCTGGAGAAATCATCAAGGCGACAGGCCCTGTGTCGTACACGGTGAAAATGGCAGATGGGAATGTAGTTCGCAGCCATCAGGATCATCTCCGAAGTCGTTACGCGGGAGGGCAAGCATCGCAAACTCAGCCAACTGAGGATGTCGATGACTTGGACAGTCACATTATGGAGGACCCAGGCCAGCCTGATAGGAACACACCGTCTCCAGACTCTGATGAAGCTGCCTTTGAGATAACGACACCCGAACGAGTCGATCCGTCGTCCCCTGTCTCCGATGAAGCCACCCCTGTGACAACGGCACCCGCACAAGTTGTCCCGTCTTCACCTGGCTCATTGCCTGGCTCCGACAGTAACGTGTCAACTGATACTGTCCCTTCGACACCCACTATGCCTCAGCGCCACAGGAGACAGCAGTCTATGCCAGGGAGAGTCTATCCGCAGAGAGAACGTCGTGCACCAGACTACTATGGGAAAACTTGACTGTTTACTTAATTTTGGCTGCTTGTATCACATTTTGGGTTTCTGTATTTCAAGTTGCGTTATGTATCACATTTAAAGGGAGAGGAGATGTGGTATCTCCATGGCAACAATGCATGTTTGTGCATTCGACACTATGCAAGATACCCTTGATGCCAGGCAGGTTTCTTGTGCCATTTTGTCTCAGAAGTAATTGAAACTTTTGGCAGCCAAGCATGCTATTTGTGGGTGGCAATTAGCTATAATTTATACCCTAGCTAGGAAATTTCCTGAGTCGTGTGGGACTAAAGTCAGGGAAGAAAATCATCTACAACAAGGCTAGATCTCCAGAAGACTCCAGTATGAAGGAATGAGACAGTGAGTAATAACCAGCGTGCATGCGCAGCGAGGGTTACAGTAGTCGTTCTGTCTGTCTGTCCGTCTGTCCGTCTGTGCGTTACGAGGCGGCCCATGAGCGATACCAACGGCTTCAGAACTACGCCAACCCAAAAAAGAAAATGGCGATTTTCCTGAAACGACTGCGTTCCAGAGATATAGCGTGAAAACGAGCGAAAAGGCCTACATGTATACGAGCGATAGATCGCGCACGCACCCAGCTCCGCTACGCACACGGGTAAGCGTCTCAGTGTTTTGCGTAGCGCATATAGCTATACAACGCGCCACGTGCATGGTTACCCTCGGCATGCGCAGCGAGGGTGCGGCAGTTGGGTCTGTGTGTGTCTGCGTGTCAATCTGCCTGTCTGTCTGTTAGTACATCTCACTTCTCGAGTGTTTGTTCGTCTCACAAAGGTCAGAAGTTTCGAACGATTTCTCTGAAACTGCTCCGTTGCAAAAGCTAGAGCGCGAAAAAGCTATATACAACGGACGTGATGGCTACCATGGTCTGATAGACCCGTTCCCGCTCGCCAATAACTGGGGTAGCTCTCCCTCCGACAGCTCCGAGATGCGCTGGCCCCCAAGCTATTGCTCCCTCTCATTGTGCTTGTCTTGTGGCGAGTCATTCTCCACATCATCTATATAATGCTGTTGCATGGGAGTTTACCATTCCCGCACAATGATATAACAGCTGACCAGAATGCCAGTGTCTCTACTGAACAACACCACCAACCTTTGGAGGGTGAAGCCCTCAGATATTCCTCTGCCAGCATGTAGGTTGGTGCCCCGCTAGACATTACTGCCAATGGGTTCTGGTGGGGGGAGATTGACCAAGCATTTCTTGATGTCTGGGTGTTCGTTCAACCCACAGTCTCCATAAAATCACAACAATGATCGTTTTGCTACAGATTGAAAAGAGATTCTATGCAAGCAGTGCATCCATGATATTGAGCATGGGTAGTTTGGGTAATGGTTGAGTCACTGGTGGGATAGGTCGCATTTCACCAAAGTTTACAAAGGTCTTACCTTCATGCTGTCAAGCAAATGAAACCAGCTGTATATACTTGATGACACATCCTTCACTTCTGCCTCTTCAATCTTGCCTTCAGAAGTGACGCCCATCTGTAGGTCATTGGTTCAAGCCCAGTAGACCTTGTGCCAGCTGAGTCCCAGGTCAACCCTGCCATTAGCATAATTTCAATGAAAGGCACTGGGCAAGGGATATTACCGACGGGCAGCATGATATATTTTGCATGTGTGATTGATAATATTGCACAAGTGGTACTCACACAAAACTAGGGCAGAAACTGTAGGCAATGAAGATAGTAAGACAAAAACCAAAAACTAATAGTCGGGATTACACTCACACGTAACGCACGTAAGACTGGTAGCTAATAATGCCCTCTCTGACAGGTCGTCAGTTTTGAATCGTGACTGTAATTTGTAGTCTAAGACTTCAATGTTCGCTCAACTACAACCAGTTTTATTACAATTCTGCCTTCTATACAGAATCCCTTTGCCAGTCTTCACACCACATCATTCAACAAAACACGGGTAAGCGTCTCAGTGTTTTGCCGTAGCGCATATAGCTATACACGCGCCACGTGCATGGTTACCCTCGGCATGCGCAGCGAGGGTGCGGCAGTTGGGTCTGTGTGTGTCTGCGTGTCAATCTGCCTGTCTGTCTGTTAGTACATCTCACTTCTCGAGTGTTTGTTCGTCTCACAAAGGTCAGAAGTTTCGAACGATTTTCTCTGAAACTGCTCCGTTGCAAAGCTAGAGCGCGAAAAAGCTATATACAACGGACGTGATGGCTTACCATGGTCTGATAGTATATAGCTATACACGCGCCACGCTGTACATCATACGATAGAGATCACTCATGGTTTGCGACATTATTATAGGGCTTGTGTGGAGGAAAATTTACACGAGCAAGAAATGCCTGAGGCTGTTTGTTGTTGTTTACAAACTTGTAATATTTACATTTTGATACTAATGATGGGTTGCATATTATGTGTATAAACAAAGTTTTATCATTCTTGGTATTGGCATTAACTAGTTATCACACTGTATTGATCTCTATCATAATGTATGGCCTGGGGCTCTTTTTTGTTTTGTTGTTGTTGTTTACATGTAAACAACATTGTTTACAAACAAATAAAAATGGTCTTGCATGATCTGTCATGGATTCCAATCTTTGTGCAAAGATTTTAACTGGTTATTGAGATACGCCTGTCTAAACTGAACCACAACAACAACAACAACGATGACGACAACAAGAATGGCAGAAGTTGACAACTAACTTTCCTAAAAATTCAGTCATTTAAGCATTATTTTCATAAGTTTAAACTTAATTTGAGACAAAAATGGCCCACGAAACCTGCCTGGCATCAAGGGTGTCTGCATAGTTACTGAAAAGCTTCGCCTTTTACATTAAGGCTGTGACTTGGAAAGCACCTTGTAACACAAGTTAAGCTATAAACTTGCCAAGGAAACACCTGTCGGTGTGCAATTACTTTTCACATTACGACATCCTTGACTAAATATATCGAAGTGAAAATGACATCAGAGGCAAGTCTGTTAAGTATTTCAAGATTTTCATGCGTCAGGAGGAAGTCTTCTTTTATGGGAGGAATTTTGGATATGCATTTGGGTTGGATTTTAACGTTTATATTGGCACAGAAACTGTATTTCATCTTCCATGCTACTCTCACTGTGCACAAAAATTACAGGGAGAAGGGAGGTTTGTTGCTAGGTGATACTATTTTGCGCCTGTTTCATTTGCCAAACGGTTTTTCAGTGCCACACTCTACGTCAACATGCTGTAGATATAGTGCTGCTGATGGAATTCTATCCTGAAAAGCTTTTAGAGTACAGGTGAGAGCAGTTGCTTCTGCCAAACCATCTGATTATCACTGAGGCGTGTCTTATATAATTATAGCTTGTAGCTACATTCTGTGTTACGACCATTACAGTGGTGGATGCTTCGCAAGGTAGCTAATCGAAAGGAAGGAAGAAAACTACAACAAGGCTAAGGCTTCAGAAGACAAATATCCCAGAAGACTCCAGATATGACAGAATGAGACAGTGAGTAACATAGTGCTAAGTGTATCGTGATAGACCGCCGCTAAAAAAAACTTGGCCGCCAGATATCTAGCAGAGCTGTATAACAACGGTAAAGTTGAGTAATCGCACGTCTAGAGACGCCTAGCTCTCTCTGGGCTTGCAGGTGTGCAAGAGAGATGTTTTTTTTGTGTGTCTTACCTTAGAACTGTGTTTGCTGCAGCTTACGTGGCGTATCAATTAGAGTAACAGAATTGTCACCGAAATGGCGGACCTCCACCTGGAGAGCATTGTAAAGAGCGTGGCGAAACAATGAAGAGAGCAAGAGAGTGTGGGGAAGCAATGAAAATAAGAAAAACAGAAGCCTTGCGGGAAATCGTGTTTGTCTGCCTTCCCATGGCAGCGGCGTATCCAGGGGGGTGCTTTGCGCCACCACTTCAACATATATACAAACGTTAGCCGCTCGCAAGACTAACTAGGGTAGCGGAAGGTATTATGAGACACTTAGCTCTAAACAAGGAGTACTTGCAGAAGCTTAGTCCCACAACCACAATTTTCATAGGTTTAACAGTTAAACTAACTCCAATTCTCTGCAACTGCAACTAATCGTAATGATCAGATACCCCCAGTACTTGACAATTTTGCATTAATATTAATCCAGCAATGCATTTATGAGACAATGTATAGAATATGAGACAGTTCTAAAATTGCATACAGGCCGCTTAAGCTGTCGGTTTCTACAACACAAAACACTTATCAGACAATGTAATGTGTGAACATACTTACTTCGTCAAAAAATTAAGTCCATAAAAGGAAAACTTAACCCAATACAAGGTAGGTTTCCACCAAAAATGGGAAACTTAACCCTTTTTCATAATACCATTTGAAGAGAGAAATAAAGTGGTATGCCAAGGAACAGAAAGAAAGTGGGGTCATGGCCCGGGGTACTTTCTGCCACACCTCTCCCACAAACGTGTTGAACGAAAGCATGTACTTAATAACACATTGGCAGAGAATTAAAAAAAGCAGGATAATTATATAAAAATCCTCTTAGGTTTTTATATAATTATCCTGCTTTTTTTAATTCTCTGCCAATGTGTTATGAACATCATCTGCAATATTTAAAAAATCAAAATGGAACCATCTTTCACACTGGTCACAACAGATCCATCGTGACCCCTCTTCTGACTCGTCTTCCCCTCTATGACAGAGTGGACAAGTTTCAAGTGAGATATCCATCGCAGCAAATGCCTCAGGAAGGGACCTGTTCTTCTTTCCCTTTCTTGCACTTCGAAGGTTTTTCTTTTTCTCCCTTTGTTGTTCACGTTCCACTCTCCTTTCTGCCTTGAGTGCTTCCTGTCGGGCCTTTTCCTTTTGCTATTCCCTTTCTTCCTTCTTGCAGGAGGCTTAGGCAGGGTAAGGATTTCGCTGAGAACAGGTGAGGTTTCGCTGCTGGACGGAGAGCTTCTCAAGCATCCAGAGGAAGTTACTGATTCCGTATGATAGAGCTTTAACCAAACCTTGTATTCCGGGTCATCCACATCATAGCCCTCCTCGTACCTTTTTCGAAGAGTTCAATCTTCTCCGGGGAAAAAGGAGGATGGTCTTCCTCCACTTCTTCAGGACATGGAGTCTTGACACCCCTTGAAACTGTAAATGCTCTGTCGCTAACCTCCCCAGGATTGAAGGGCTGTATCCCGCACTTTCTGAACCCACTCATAACATTCAGTGGGTTGAACGAACGAGGCCATGCTTGACCTACGAGTGCTGCAAGTATGTCAGCCGTAACAACACGGCCTGGTTGCTCCATAACATACTTGTGACATGCATTGGAAAAAGCAGCCTTAAAGGATTTGAAGACTCCAACATCTAAGGGCTGTAGTATATGTGTGGTATGGGGCGGAAGACAGAGTAAGTGAATGGAATGAGCCTTTGCTAATTCAATCACATCAATGCTAATATGAGAATAATGGCCATCTTGGATCAAAAGAACTGGCCTAGCTGGTGGAATCCAGTTAATGAAATGTTGAAACCACTGCAGAAAGATTTCCTTGGTCATCCACCCACTGTCAGTGACCATAAACACTGTGCCAGGAAGAGCACCAACCCTCATGGCATCAGGAACACTCCGCTTCCGAGGATATACCATCAGTGGGGGGAGACTTACACCCGAAGCTGACACACAAGCCAATACTGTGAGGTTTTTACCTCTTTCACCAGCAGCAATACTATAAACATTCTTCCTCCCAACCATGGCTACAACTTTACCAGGCTTCTAAACTACGTTGATGCCAGTCTCGTCAGCATTATAATCTTGCATAGGTTTTGTTAGGAGGTTTAGCCGACCATAAACAGCCCCGAGTTTGGCAAAGAAGTCATCAACGACAGTTTTGTTGGAACATAAGGCCCGGCAGTATGAGAGTGGTTGGGGACTACGGAGAGTAAGGTAAGGATGACGACTTTTGAAACCTTGATACCACCCCCAACCAGCACACTTCTTCCCTGTCCTTTCAGCTATGGTAAAAGCCATTCTCACAACATCCTCAGGTGATAGACGTACCCCATATCTGCCATTTCTACCACGTACTTGGCTAGAAGATCCTCTTCCTCCTTTGAAAGGACAGTTGGCGGTCCAGGCCTTGCGTCCATCTCCACCACTCCCATAACAACCCGTCTTCTCAGTGTCTCCACCGGGACATTGAATCCCCTGGATGCTTCACGATAGCCCATCTTATTCTCGCGGACGGCCTTCACTGCTTCTTTCATGCTTTTCTGACTCCACTGCTTTCGTTTATAACTCATTTTCACTGATTCGGAGCAGAAAACTTTAGGCGGCATGTACTCAGGGTCAAAGGTCACAGGGGTTTTGCGCGGCGCGCTGAGGTTCGTGCCGGACTGGAGCAACCTCGGCGGATATAGTGCAAGCTCCCGAACCTATAATAAGGTAATTCTAAAATACTGTCTCATAATTGCTGCTGTCTCGTAACACCCTCCTATACGCTACTATATACCCGCGTCGTCGAGCGATTCCGCGAACTAGGACCTACGCGCGAGCGTAAAAACTGGCGTGGCACTTACCCGCGCGCGTATTGAACCCGCGCAGACAGTTGCAAATGTTAATCGTAGACGAATTTGCTAGACGTCACCCGTGGAGGCTACAAATTATGGGGCGCCATGCCATTTGTTCGTTTGTAAACCATTTATCAGACTACCCCTTTTCGCACCGTTTAGCTAAATCGTTGGACAGATATAGCTAAATCGTCAGGTAGCTAGGCTAAATCGCCTAACATATATAGCTAAGTCGTCCGAAAGAGATAGGCTAAATCGCCAGGTAGTTAGCTACATGAACATGATCAGCTTGACCGAGCGATCTGGCAACGATTTGGCTGTAACTACCTGGCGATTTGAATATCTACCCAACGATTTAGCTGTGTAATTAGATAAACGCTATATCCGTGAGATGGTTTAGCTGGGTATATCTCTCGGGCGATTTAGCTATAATTATCTATCCAACGATCTAAACAGTGCTGAAAAGGTCTGATGAAGCTACTAAATTGTTTACAAACGTGAATTTTTAGACAAATGGCACCCCATAACAAATGGCTAACATACTCAGTGCTGAACAATGACTGTATATATTATTTTGCGCCTGTAATTATACTGCTGAATAATGACTTCACCCATATCATTTTGCGCGTGCGCACATGTTCGTGCGTTCGCAACACCACCGCCCCCCCAACAAAACTGTACTATACAGCAATGAGCAAACCCTCGGCGAACTGCGCATGCGCGATACTGAATTGATGGGCTGGACTACTAGTGAACATTGTTGGCGAGCGGGAGCGACCCAACTTGGGATTTACCCGCGATGTTCGGGCTGCATAACGTGCCGTCAGCGGCTTTCCTTTTGAAGCAAGACAGATCTACCTGTCGCCATTACATGCGTATTGTACATTGGCAGAACGGTGAGCAGGTGAGTAGGTGAGCAGAACGGTACTTACCTTACGCTCTCGTCAGTCGTGGTCCACCAGGCAGCTGGCATGCAGCAGTATGTGCACGAGCAATCCCAGCGTATTTGCAAGTTGCACCTTGGAACCATGAAGATTGGGAAGAGGTACAGCCTCGGTCAGTCACCGAAGGTTGCAGCGCATGCCGTCGAATCAATGGAGGAGAGTTCTCTAGCCGGCTAGATCGATCGGCGCATATCGCGAGGCACCGTGTGTGAAAATTTTGGAAATAGTTTCGGATAAAAAGACAAAGCCGCGCATGCATGCGCACTTACACGGACGAACGATAACTATACCGAAAATTCCGCTCCCGCTCGCCAATTAGTTTACTCGTATTATAGTCTCCCGCTAGTAGCGCGCGGAGAGTCTGACACGGGATATCTGCAGTAGTAGATAGCATGCGGGAGTCGATACATGCCGTTCGTTGTGACTTCCTGACCCCCCAAGGTGCACAGAGTTAGCGGATCAGTTCGCGGTAAGCCCAGTGCGATTATGCATATTGGCTTTTTCGCTTGTGTTCACGGCATATCTCTCGAACGCAGTCGTTTCAGGAAAATCGCCCTTTCGTTTTTCAGGCTCGCGTAGTTCTGAAGCCGCTGGTATAGCTAATAGGCCGCCTCATAGCCTGTAGTGCCAGAATAAGCGTCGACACACACACAGACAGTCTCGTTGCGCGTGGTGGAAGAAAACGTGGGAACAGACAGACACACTTACGGACCAAGTACCGTAACCCTCGCTGCGCATGCGCACCGAAGGTTAACAATCTTGCTTATCCTCAGGCCATAATGTGTGGTCTATCAACTTAGCTACCTAGCCAGCTCAAACTCAAAGCAAGTCATACACGATCTCTTTCATTTCTGTCTTCCACCGTTAGAGGTTTATAAAAGCAGAGAGACTCACTATCAATTTTCAGCTCTCAGAAGTGGCTTCAATCTCCATGGGCTTTAACATATAAAGCTTGACAGTTGCCAGAGGGGCTAGGCTGCATAGCTCACTTGCAACAGGGCCTTTTCAAAAAAGCATTGGCTAGTATATACTTGTCTATATTGCCAGGTTGCAAACTGCGAAGCTAAAGTTTTCCTCAACTTTTAAGCACTTTCACTACCTCTTACACTCTTAAAGGTAGACTTTCTGATGTGGAGACCTAAATTCTTCTGTTCTGGTGTACTGTCCCACCACTCTCTTCCGTGAAAGAAGCTCGATACCCAGTATTCTAACAACATAGACTCTCTTTTGCAGCTCACTTGTATAAACATTATCCGTATCTGGGTAGAAGTAACAGGAGTATGCTTGCTTCTTTAGTGGAGAAGTCATAGTGATATAGCACGACAAGTGTCAATTACATTTAGCTGCTAACCTTTAGCGTTCAAGGCCAACCATGAGGTTTAGGGTTTAACTTCCACAAACGTTTGCAAAAGGGCCCTCCATGTTATTCTGTCTCTATAAACTTTCAATATTGCCTTTGAACGACGGTGGCAGAGGAGATGAAGTATGTGTTTCACCAAGTTCTCGAGCATTTTGTACTGGTCAGATAAAATGCTTATGAATGTGAGATTTCTAGTGACTCTTTCAGGACAAGGCCTGAATAGAGGTGATGTCAAAGAACTAGTTAAGGCTGTACGACCTGGTCTATACACGAGTGTAATCTTCCCTGAGAGCCTGGGGCCTAAGGTCATATCAATAGACATTTCCCCTTACAATCGCTTCCACTGGGCAAAGGGATATTACTGACTGGTGGCAAGTTGAATGTTATTGATACTTTTGCACAAGTGGTACTCACACAAAACTATAAGGGCAGAAACTGTATTAAATAAAGATAGTAAAACAACAATAAAATAACTAAAAGTCGAGATTATACCCTCATTGATAGAACGGGACGATACGAGAATGTTACATCGGGCTTATTACAGCTCACATTATACGAACGCACCTACACAGTGACAGTATATACCTGGTCAGTGTGTCTGAAACACACAACCATTAATATGTATTAAATACACAGGTGTATGTTTAGTTCTATAATTTTATCATGCAGATGGCCGATTTGCTCCTACCGCAAGAAATATCCATAGAAAGGAAAAGCAAACTTGGGATCAAGTCTTCATCTACCACCATGGAAATAGCCAATTGCAAGGAAGCAGGGGAAGAAGCATTGCCACAAAAAATAAACAGAATTACTCCAAAACCCAAAAACGGCATGCCGGATCCTGAGAAAACGTTTCGAGCTGTGGCAGCCAGAAATTATCGCCAACTGGATCCGGTTACCGGAGATGCTGCCTGCCAGATGCGGGTGCCATTTATGCTGGATGCAATGAATATAGTTTCAATGTCAGCCTGTACCGCAGAGAGTTTAATACTTGGCTTCAGCTCTATGTACGGTCCTGAATTCAATATGCTACCAGTTGTTGCAGCATCAAAAAAAGGAACGTTGCCAGAGGCAGGTACGATGCCCGATCACTATTTTTCATTGTTTTATCCTCTTAGTGTAACGCGCCAGAGAGCAGATGACAGCTTAGGTTTCCTCATTGAAGATCAACCCGAGCGGATTACGTACTCCTATAAGGAGGCAAACAGATGGAAATCTGCAGCAGCTCAGTTTAATGTTGATTACATGAGAAAACTAGCTGAATTTCAGACCAAAAGGGTCGGCCATAAAGCTCCTGTAATAAGAAAGATAAGCACAATGCTTCGCGAGTGTAAAATTGAAATGAGAAAGGGAGGTTTTTTACAGCCCATATTACCTATTTTTATGGCCGAGTATTTTATTTTACAAAATGAATACTTGCATGGTCGTTCGATAATACTTGTTTTATCACGCTGGGGGTACGATGTTGAAGGGGGACAATATCATTTTGGAACCCAGGTCTATATGTACAGCCCCAATCAGGTGGAAACCTTATCAGATAAGAGATTCGAGTTAGTTCAGGCAGCACCCGATGCAAAAGTTGCTCAAGGAGGAGCCACGGTAATCCATGCATTCAACATGTTTCCACTGGAACAAGCAGAGAGGGGAAAATACGAGGAAACGGCTAATTTCGCAGGTGAAGAAAAGTTTTTCAACAGTCCAGATAATGCGGAATTTGAAGCAGGTTTTGCACGGTGTAACCTCCACCACTTGTTGCTTATGTGGGCTGCGGGCCATCGTCCTGCGCCAGCATCGGCAGTGGCACAGGGCTTTGAGCGGGGACAAACTCGTGAATATATAGAGCAAAAGCATTGTGCCAATACTTCTGGAGTTCCTGTGCGAGATTATAGGCTGACAGACCATACTTCCTTATTTGGAGAGCCTGATACCAACATTTCGGATGAATATTTCACCTATAAAAAGATGGCAACTAGATACGGAATCACAGATATCCAATATGTATCCGAAACAGCAGAGATGCGCAAAACATTCTATGTTGCTCCACTGGGTTGTGCCGGTAAAAATGTTCAGCTAAGAGAGTGGACCACAATGCCCGCCGAAGCTTTTAACAATATTGCAAGGTGTAGAGGTGTCAAGGCCCAGCGAGACAGAATTATTTATCTCCCAAAGCTTTACACTCGAGCCTGCCAGCCTATTCCATTCTCTGTAGTCCATATATATGTATCAAATTTTAATGAAGAACAAAAACGTGCCGAAGAACTTAATGAAAAATTCCCTCCTACCAGGAAATTTGGACGGGACGTAGAAATGGAGCTTGTTTCGGGGACTTTTTATGAAAAGTCGAGAAAAAGGAAAGGCCAACCGGTGAAAAAACAACTGGCACTGTGGACGGTAGGGGAGACGATGGATGAAAAACACCAAACCAGCATACAATACCCTGATTCCCAGACAGAATTAGGTTATGAAACACCAATGACACCACAAGATAGAAGAGTCCTTGCCAATAAAATGATAGAAATTTCCAGGACATTGCGTGCCGTAGGTGATATTGTGGAGGGAGTAATTGAAAGGGCAATCAAAATTGCTAATTAATATTTACATCAAAGACATAGCAGTGAACAAGACTAATAATTACTATTATCTGTATCATTTTTCATTCTGTACTATATATCTACGCCTAGAAATGCTAGCCAGCCATGCCCCCGCAATTATAGCGCCGGTATATAGGGATGGCACAGGTCAAATCTCACGTGATTCGCATAAAATTGCCTCAAAATGGGCGAGAATGACTTGCTAGGCCTCTATAAATAGTCTCAGGGCTACTATCCCAAAGACTTTATACGCACCTTCAGTCTTCCACATAATGCAAGACCGAGAAGATAAAAAGTCATAGTTCTTTGTCTCGGCAGAGGTAACTGAATATGTAGCTAGCATTCAGAAAAATATAGAGGCAACCATTGGCTGCCCTAATTATAACCCTCGGCGCGCATGCGCAGCGAGGGTTACTGTAGTTGGTTTGTCTGTCTGTGTGTGTGTCGACGCTTATTCTGGCACTACAGGCTAGGAAGCGGCCCATTAGCGATACCAGCGGCTTCAGAATTACACGAGCCTGAAAATAAAAGGGCGATTTTCCTGCGTTCAAGAGCGACAAACTGGCACCGTCGCGGACCGTGTTCCGTGCCCCAACCCATCAATAAGCGGTGGCGTATATTAGACGCGATCAACGCGGTGAATGCTGGCTCACCCCGACCTGATCCGCTTGCCCTGTGTATATACCTTGGAGGCACAAGAAACCACAGCGAAGGGCGTGTATCGACTCCCGCATGCTATCTACTACCGTAGCTAGCCCGTGTCAGACTCTCCGCGAGCTACTAGCGGCGGGAGCTAGACTGCGGGATTAGCGATAACGCGCATGCCCAGTTCGCCGAGGGTTTGCACTTCAGTTCGAAGAAGTGAAATTGGTTCAGCAAACTCCGGTGTGGTATGCTACCCTTACAGATTGGAACAAACTGACATAATGAGGAAGAGAGCAAATGATGGAAAATGAAACGTGAATTGTGAATTGTGAAATGTATCGTGAGAGCATCTACCAACGTTCTGATGTGTTTCACTGCATTTGGAAGAGATTCACATTAAGGGGGTATATACCTCTTTGAAACTTCATGACTCTACTATGCCAAGGAACAAGGGATATATTTCCCGATTTTGTAGGCTTTATTTTGCATCATTAAGGTATTCATGAGTTCGGGTCCCATTCATTTCTGAAAGAACGGAAAAAATGTGCATTAAAATAGAAGTCGCGCACACATTCACACATGTGCGCAATTGTATTACTCACGTTCTACCGTGTTAGTTTGACAACTGGTTGGGAGATAAAACATTCCTACATGTCCTGTTCCATGTCAGGTACATATTTACATGGAACAGGACATGTAGGAATTTTTGACGGTTAACTGGTGATTTTTATACAAATGAGGTCCAGGAAGTGTAATAGTCAAGGGACTAGCAAGCCTATCATTCATGTTCCACTGTATTCTAGGGAACTCAAAGAACAGGGGGATAACAGCTATTGCCTATTGCAGCAGGCTCAGTCACGACGAGTGTACCAGTGCCAGCCCTGGGCCTCAATGACAGGTCTCAATTGCTCCTCAGCCACAATGGGGAGGTAGGGCTTGTGGAGGAGTCTTCTGGTCCACCACTCCCCTCTCCCTGCTGCTTCACTGCCCAGCTCTGTGTACTGGTAGTGGTAGTGAACAGCACGCACATACCTACATGGAAAAGTTAGCTCAACACGGAGAAATTATATACCAGAGTGAATAAAAGTTTTATACAACAAAAATTACACATAATAGCCTATTAGCTACATGGCGAGAGGAACGCTCAACATAACCTCAGTAAAAGCCCATCTCTCAATTCTAATTTCTATGGTCAGCTCAGCCTTGTCCCCAGCCCTCATTTTGCACCAGGTTGAGTTGTTAAACAGCTGAACCAGTGAAAGGTCACACATAAAAATTCACTAGCACATAAGGATTAGTGGGGTCTACTGCCTACGGTCATTACTAGTAGCTACACATACCCGGCCATACACCACAATAGCAGCCCAGTGATATCATGCGGCTACCACTGCCAGAAAATGCTTTTATCATAGCTGAGTTACATACAAGATCATGGAAGCTGTGTCATCTTGGGAAACGCTCAACACCATAGTCTTACACATTAACTCACTTGGGGGGTATCTCGGCAAAGGGGTTGTGTGCCAGTAGAGAGTTGACTGAGGGATCTCCAGCCAGTATCTTCCCAGCCAAGTTCAGCAGCCATGGGTTGTGTTGGTAGGACTGGACGTGATTGAGCAAAAAAGCAAGTCGGATCCAATCATAACACACTTGTCAAATCCTATATATATGGTGATGTGGACTTACGTTATGAGTGAATAGAAATAAGGTGAAAATGTATAGCTAACTTAAAAGAATGTACTGTATATCCAAGCAGCAAAGCCACTAGTTTGGTCACTGTATACCTGGAAGGCAGCAAACCACATGAGCCAGTCCAGGCGGTAGTGGTACGGTGAGATGAGGCATGGCCGATGTCCAACACTCCCCGGCTTACACTTGAACTCAATCTCCAGCCACTGTGCCCTCTCTCCACTCTGATCCACAGAGCTGTTATACGTTCCTTCCAGTACGACCTCTGTCCTCTCCTTTGTTACACTGAAGACAATTGAGACCAATAATTTATATACACATAACGATTGCCCACTGATAGGGGGATAGAGTAATAGCCACCTGCCAAAGGCTCCATAGGTATTGACGATCCTGAAACAGTCAAAGGAAGTGTTCATGAGCTGGCGGGAGGAGAGGAGGTTCTGGACCACTGGGACACTCAGGTAGACCAGGAGCCCTGCCAGGGCTAGCGACGAGGCCTGCCGAATGTACCACCCTACACAGAAAGAGTTCCCGTGACTGTTTCAGTGGAGCGACAATACCCTCAGAGCATAAAGACAACGTTCATACTGTCTGTAGTAAGCACTGAATTCTAAATGCACGCCCTTCAATACTAAAAACATGTAGCTAATGTAAATCGTTACGTTAGCATGAGTCAACAACAAAGCGGGGTAGAAAGGGCAAAGCAAACAAGTCACACCCTAAGTGGAATTCGAACCCATGAGACTCTGCTCTCTAGGCGAGCGCTTCACCACACATTTTACCCAGCGGCTTGGTCTTGGTGTGTAGCCAGTGCTGCTGTATTTCAAACACTCTGTGTCTGGTGGCAGAGGAGAACAGCCAGGCCAGAGACTTGTCATCGAAACAGAAGATGGCAGGGATGAGAGTCAGCCAGTTGAGGAAACTCAGGTTCCCACTCACTAGGCAGAAAAACAGTCCTCATCCATGAGTTCTTGATGGAGATGGCACACAAGGGGGGGGGAGCGGAGAGAGAAACATTAGCACCCAGTCGAAACAGGTGAGGCAACCACGACAGTGTACATGTGGAACCGAAAAGATCATAGAGGTACTCTCACCAAGAGAACGTACCCGGGTTCAGAGAGATAACTTGTTATTCAAAGAAAGTGCAACAAGTCAGAAAAGGTCCAGGACAAAAAAACTCGTTCAAAATCAAAAGAACAATTTCATCAATTCAACGTCAATCAGAAAGTCAACAAAAAAGGTCAAAAAAAAAACAACACAAAAAAGACAAAAGGCGAACCAAGACCAAAAAAATCAAGAGGGATCAACAAAACAATCAGAAGAAAAACGAATCAGGGAACAACAAGGCGAACTATACAAGATGCAAAGATCAAGGGGTCAAAAACAATCAAAACAATTCAATCAAAAAAACAACATTCAACTCAACACAATTCGTATATCAAAAAAAACAAAAAAGTCCACAAGCAAAGGGGGAAAACAAATCAGGGGGAGAAGAAGTCAAAGTCAAACCTCAAAGGAACAAGAGAAAACGGGATATCAAAAAACGAACAGGAACGCGAGAAACGAGGGGAAAAAAAAAAATTGGACAACAAAGAGATCAAACAAAAATCAAAATCAAAAAAAATCAAGGTCAAGCGAACACAAAATCAAAAAACAAAGGGATACAATCAATGACACAAAGGGGTCAAAACATCAGATTCGAAAAACAAATCGAACAAGAACAATCAAGCAACGAAAACAAATAACAAAACACAATCAAACAAAATCAACAACCAAAATCACAAATCCAGGGCAAAGAAGTCCAGGAAAAGGGTCACAAAAGAGCACAAAAAATAGGAAAAAAAAGGAGACAAAAGAGAAGAAGTCAAAAGTGGGGGCGAGGCCCCCATCGACACAGAAACAAGGAAACGGGGAGATCCAACAAAAATCACAAAAAGGGGACGAACAAAAACGAAAATACGGCACAACGGGGTCAAAGAAAAGGAGGAAGCACCAGCAGAAAAGCAGAAAAGCAAACCGGGTCCACAAAAAGTAACAAAAAGCGGGGAAGAACAAAATCACAAACAAAAAGAACCTCCCCAAAGCCACACAATCAGACGACAACCGAACACGCACATCCCATCAAAAGAGATGGCTCGTACAGGTCGAAGGGAGCAACAGAACATGTTTCTTCAAATCAAACGGCAAAACGGGATCAAACCACATTCAAAAAAGACAAGAAATCAAAGGGGGAGTTTCCAAAGGCATCAATTCATCACAGCAAACCACAAAATCCCAGTAAAGAGAAACGAAAGGTAAACAAGGTCAAACAAAGAATCAAAAAAAGGGACAGACGAATTCAAGAAAAAAACAAGAAGCCATCAAACTACCGCAAAATTAAATGCGACATGGGCCACAAAAACAAGATCGGAAATCAACAAATCAAGAAAAAACGACAAAAGTAAAATCGGAAATCAAAACAAAAACGATTCAAAGAAAAACAAAACGCAAATAAATCAAACAAAGTCAAGATAACAAAAAATCACAAAGAACAATCAAAAAAAAATCAAAAATGCAAGAAAAAACGAGCGGAACATCAAATCGAGAAAAACAAAAATTACAATCAACAAAGCGCAACAAGCAGATCACGGAAAATTTTCCAGGTGCGGAGGTCGAAAAAGAAAGAAAAACAAAATCCAAGAACTCGAAAAACCACAAGCAAACAAAAATCAAGAGGGGACACAATCACAAAAAAAAACGGGGTCAAAGGCAAGGAAACAAATCAATCCAAAAAAATCAAACACCAACCAATACCAAAAAAAATAAAAGCACAGGAAAAAGATCGAAGGAGCAACTACAGAACCAAAAAACGAACGAACAAAAACCAGAAAATAACAAAAAAAAATCACCAAATCACTCCAAAAGACAAAACAAAGAAAAAGCCGGAAGCAGGTCGGAACGATTGGGGATCAAAAGGAGGGGACCGAAAAACACAAAACAGGACAGAAAAAACAAAAATCAAACCAAAAAAAAAAAACAAGAAAAAAGCAGAAGACAATCAAAACAAAGATCAAAAATCAAGCAAAAAAAAAACACGAATACAAAAACCCACACAAAAGCAAACAGATAAGGCAAATAACAAAACAAACAAAAACAGAAATGAAAAAGACAAAGCAACCAAATCATCAAATCCCCAAATCAACGGGACACAATCACAAGCGCATCAACAAACAAACACCGGAGAGAGAGAGGCTCAGCAAACGGAAGGGAAAATAATCAAACAGCAAAATCAAGGGAATCCAAAATCAAGGGGGAATCAAATCAAGAAACAGTCAGAAATCAAAAAGACAGCGAAAAGGTGTACAGACAAAAACAAAACCAATGGAAAACAAGAAAAACAGACCAAAAGTATGCAAGATGTTCGACAGAAAAGAATAAAAAGTCGGCAAAAGACGAACGGTAAAGGAAATCAAAATCAAATCAACAGAACAAAACAAAAAACACGGAACGCAGGATCACGAAACAAAACATCAAAAAGATTCACAATGCACCATCAAACAGACCATCACAGAGGTCAATCAAACAATCAAAAAAAAATCAAATCAAAAAAAAAAGAAGCAAATCGGGGGAATTCAAAAAATTCAAAGACAAAAAAAAAAATAAAACAATCGAAGCGATACAAAATCACAACACAACCAAAAAACAGACACATCCAACACCACAAACAATCAAAAATAAATCAAAAAAAACAACAGAAAGAAACCCCACAACAAAATCAAACAACAAAAAATCAAAAAAAACCCCCAAAAAACAAACAAACAATCACAAACACCAAACCAACAACAAAGAAACAACAAAACACAAAAAAAAAACAAAACACAACCACAAAAAAGAAAACATCAAAACAAAAAAAAAAAAATCCAAAAATAATAAACAACAAAACAAAAAAAACAAACCAAAACTTCAAAAAAAACCAATCAAATCAATCAAAATCAATCCAAATCAAATCACAATTCAAACAACACAACAAACCAACAAATCAACAATCAAAAAAAACAAAACCAACATCAATCACCAAATCAAACAAAAAAAACAATCAAATCCAAATCCAACAATTCAATCAAAACCAACAAAAAAAAAAAATCAACAAAAATCAATCACAAATCAAAAAAACCAATCCAAAAATCATCAATCAAAATCAACAAAAATCATCACAACAAACTCAAAAATCACCAAAATCAAAATCAAAACAATCCAACAAATCACAAAAAAATCACACATCAATCACAAATCAATCAATCAATCAATCAACAAATCAAAAAACATCAAAACAAAACACAAAACAAAAATCAACAAAAAATCAATCAAAACCAATCAACAACAAAATCAAAAACAAAACCTCAAACAAAAAACAATCCCACAACAATCAATCAAAAAACAACAAACAATCAAATCAATCAAAAAACCCAAAAAAACACATCAAACAACACACACAAACACAACATCAAAAAACCAATCAAAAACAACATCAACCCACAAAAATTCAAACCAAAATCAATCAACACAAACATCAATCACAAAACAACTCACCCAATCAAAAATCAAATCAAAACATTCAAAAAAACCATCAACTCAATCAAAAAAAATCACACACAAATCAACATCAACACTCAACCATTCAAACAAAAATCAACACACAAAATCAAATCAAAAACAACAAATCACTCAACCAACTCAACAAAACAACAACAATTCAAACAAACAACAAACCAAACAATCAAAAAACAAATCAAAACAAACTCAAACACATCAAAAACAAAACACAAAAAAAACAAATCAACCAACAAACAAAATAAACAACAAATCAAAATCATCAACCCATCATCAAATCACACAAAACACAACTCACATCAAAAAAATCAACAAACCAAAACAAATCAATCACACAATCAATCAACAAACAATCAAAACAAAACAAATCACCAAACCAAAACCAATCAAACAAACAAATTCAACAAAACAACAAACACAATCAACCAATCACAAACAACAAACCAAACAAAACAAATCATCAACAATCAATCAACAACAACAATCAATCAACAATCAATCAAAACCATCAACAAAACAAAAAAAAATCAATCAACAAAACAACAATCATCAAACAACAAACAAAAAAACAATCAAACAATCAAACAACCAAACATCAACAACCACAACAACACAAACAAAACACACACTCAATCAATCACACACAACAACAAATCAACAACAAATCAAAACAAAACAAACAAAACCAACAAAACCCAAACACAAATCAAACTCAAAACACAATCAAAAAAAAACAAAAATCAAAAAAAAAACACAACAACTCAATCCAACAATCCAAAATCAACAAACAAAAACAATCATTCAAAAACAATCACTCAACAACAAAAACTCATTCCAAAAAATCACAACACTCAACCCCTTGCTAATAGCTACTTAGTGTATTACTTGACCTCCGAGATAGGGACAACCTCTCTAAAAGGGACAATATTGTTGGCCCCACAGTGCGCCTTGTTCGGAGGTTCCACAGTATACTTAAGGTATTCACTCCCCCTCTAAAAATTTATATTCTTAACTAGTGACCTCTGTGGTGTATGGACTTGTTATGGTGTGTTGTTATACTAGCGTATGTTGTATTAGCTGTATGCATGTTGTATACCCTATAATATGTATGGACTGTTGTGTTGCATCACAATCGCTGTATGTTCGGTATACTATGTATCGTGTGTATGCCTGATAGTTGTACACATGTCATGACATCATCCTACATCTTCCTCTTTCTCCTTTTCCTTTGTATCCTCCACTGAAGGAGAGTAGCCTATTGGGTGGGCAAAAGTTGGGTGGTAGCAAGAGAAACCATGCGAGCTCTATGGAGATAGTAAATTAACTCAATAATCTCCCTCTGCTGAACG